GTAACAAAGGTCATCGCTACTAGGAGCAAGGACGCTACTAGGGGCTCGTGGCCTTACTACAAGGAACAAGAAGCTACTAGTAACAACGGGCATTTCTACTGGAGAAAGGACACTACTCTGGGCTCCTGGCCTTACTACTAGGAACAAGAAGATGCTAGTAACAAAGGGCATTTCTACTAGGAGCAAGGACGCTACAGGGGCTCCTGGCCTTACTACTAGGAACAAGAAGATACTAGTAACAAAGGGCATAGCTACTAGGAGCAAGGACGCTACTAGGGGCTCCTGGCCTTACTACTAGGAACAAGAAGCGATTAGTAACAAAGGGCATCGCTACTAGGAGCAAGGACGCTACTAGATGCTCCTGGTCTTACTACTAGGAACAAGAAGCTACTAGTAACAAAGGACATTTCTACTAGGAGCAGGGGCGCTACTAGGGGCTCCTGGCCATACTACTAGGAAGAAGAAGCTACTAGCAACAAAGGGCATCGCTACTTGGAGCAAGGACGCTACTAGGGGCTCCTGGCCTTACTACTAGGAACAAGAAACTACTAGTAACAAAGGGCATTTCTACTAGGAGCAAGGACGCTACTGCCCGGCAGTGGCATCTGACAATACTGAAGTCTAAAGGACTTCACGGAAGTGTTGCTGATTAGACAATTTCTTTGTTCAACGATGGATGCAAGTACAGTATGGGTTGGTCTACCGAGTTCAAATTTTTGTTCTCAGCCTTCTTTTTTTTGCGGATTGGTGCAATGGTGTTCCCGTTGCTCAACCGAGTTTTTGCTTTGTCTGAGTCTGATACCAACCACCAAGCTACACCTGTTTTATCTTGTCGATTGCCAGCAAGGTTTCCTCAACATCAACCACCACGTCTTCATCAACAACATCCACTTCTACCTCGTCCACGTCAACTTCCGTTTCATCTTCAACAGTGACCACCACCAGCACAACCTCTTCATCAACTACCTCCACATCAACCACCTCCACTTCTTCTTCTTCCACAAGCTCAACGACCGTGGCTTGCAGAGCATGAAAAGAAAAGGTGAGGTGTAGGCTGTGAGAGAGCTGCGAAGCAAAGGAAGAATGGGAGGTAGATAGCGGCTAGCGGGAAGATTCAAAAAGAAAGCTTGTTTAGTCCTTTGGAAGCTACTAGATGCAGGACGCAGAGGGGCTTGGGTTCTTCGAGGGAATGCGCTTCAGGGTGACAAAAGTCTTTTGAAGAGCTATTCGACTCTTCGCATGGTCGAACAGGTTCCATCCGGTTCCGAGTGTTTTGTAGGAAATTAGTAAGCACAAGGGTTCAACTACAATCGAACACTTTAAGTAGATTTGCATATCGACCGATGTTTGGACAGATTGTGTTTTTCACTTCTCAGGTGACGCAAACAACGTCCACTTCATCATCAGCGCAGACCTTAAAGCAGATTATAGAATGTTACAGCCATCTTGCTTGGGGATGATTGTTCAATCCAAGCCTCAAGCCGCTTCCTGTCGTGGAAATAGTAGTAAGACATGGGTGCAGTGTCTCAAAGAGCTTGGAATTTCACAGAGCTTGGTCTCGAAGAGTTCCGGAACAAGGTCACCATCACAACTACGAGTGCTACAACCACTAGCTCGACGACCACATCAACCTCGTCCACATCCACGAGCACCACCTCAAGCAGCTCAACCACTGTGGCATGGCGAAGATGAAGGGAAGATACTTAAAGAAATGCCATTAAAGAGCTTTTCTTTTTCCTAGAGGCATTCTTGTCAAGGCGGTATTTGACTTCGTAAGTGCAGCAGTGCCAGGTGAGGTATATAGTGGAAAGGCAGTCAGATGACTTACTTCCTGTTGAAGCAACGACCAGTGGTATAACATGGTATAACCAAACCTGAAGCACCTGGAATTGCAAAGCCTCTTGTGATCTGCACAGTTGACGCACACAACCTCGACTTCTTCAACGGTGACCACAACATCCTCCACCATTTCTGTGACAACGTCCACCTCTTCGTCGGTCACGAGAACGACCTCAACATCATCAACCATCACTCACACAACAACATCTGCAACTTCGTCAAGCACAACATCGACGAGCTCAAGCACCACCTCGACTAGCACAACCAGTACCACTTCAAGCTCGACGACGGCCACGTCTACCAGTACCTCAAGCACGTCTACCTCCACAACCAGCAGCTCGATCTGCAAGTTCAGTCTTGCGCACCGATCAACACCCCAGTACCTTTGTGCAAATGATTGAGAATTGAGAGCTTGATGATTGAGGTACTTCATCAACCAGTTCCTCGTCAACAAGTTTTTCCAGCACAAGCACCACTAGCAGCTCGACAAGCAGCACTTCGACCTCTTCCAGTTCCACATCTGTGCCGCACCAGCAAGAATGCTTAAAGACCCCCCAAGTTAGTATTCAATCCCCAAGACAGTACAAATAGGAATGGCAAACCACGGGTTGCCTACATTTTCCGCAGCTGCCAAGAGGGCTTCCACAGCTTGATTGCTTCGAAAGAGACCAAGTGGACTGCCAGTGCAATCAGCTCGCTTGCCCAGTCCACTTCGACGAGCAGCTCGAGCACCACCTCGTCCTCCACAAGCAGCAGCTCCACTACAACCTCATCGACAAGTACGACCAGCGCAACTCCAAATAAACAGATTATGATTATGGGCATGTTGTTGTTGCTGTTGCCTCTTTTCCTTTTTTTTTCTATATTGCAGAACTCACAAGTTGCAGTTCAACAATGTTTAACATATTTGAAACCATGATTAGATGTGTTCATGATTTTTTTTTTGCCAAAATCATTCAATGGATCGTTGTGATTCTAGTCTGCAACAAGGTAACCTCAACTACGACAACAACAAGTACCAGCTCGACCACAACAACAACCTTCCTGGGCAGACCTTTGTCGAAAGTTTAGCCAGATTCAGACGCAACAGCCGCAACGGCTGTTCTATTAATTCTGATGTGCAAAGAATTCTACAGTTTTAGCAAGCAGCTTTGCACGTTGACGGTTAGTCCAGTTGAATTCATTTTGCATATTATATGCTCAAAGCTATGCACAGGACTTCTCAGAACCCAAGTGCTCTACAATGGCATTTGGGTTTGGCGCACCTTCCATGAAGAGTTTGAGGTGCGATCGTTTTCGACTTGGCGACGTGAGACACAATTGGTTGACGTGAGACACGTATGTCTCTGGAGGTGAATGAAACATTGACCTTCGACAACGCCTCTTTGGTGCCGGCAGCCGGTCTCTTAGAGCGATGAGCTTTCAGTTCCGTCAGTCGGATAAGTTGATGTTCAGTGATTTTCAGTGATCAGAGATTAAAACAGATACCTTATATAATTGTACCTTTTGACTCTTTTTAGCTTTTTACCTTTTTTTTTCCAAGATTTTTCCTGCCAGGATTTTGCGCTCCAGGATTACACGCATATCATGCTCTACTTGCAGTCCAGCTTCTGCTTTTTGGCACGGGGAAAGAACGCTTTTGTTTGATATGTTATTGTCTTTTCCAGTGATGTGAAGCACATTGGCAGTGGGTGATTTTGTGTGCTGGTGCTTTATCAAACTAGTGGGCAGGTAGTTTGACAACCTAGATATTTGTATGTAATATATGGTTGTCGATCTAAAGGTCCTAGTCAGCAGTGTGTATGACGATGACCCGGAACATATCAAAATCTCATTTGGCGAAAGTTTTTTCTCGAGTTGGCGAAAGTAATTTTTTTTTGGCGAAAGATGTGGCGAAAGATTAAATATGTACTTTTGTATGAATGTTCATTTGCTTTCTGAACAGCTGGTGGCAGTGACTCAGAAGCTAGATGAGCTGTGGAAGTTAGATAACCTGCTGCTGCTGCGACTACTACTACTACTACCACTACCACTACCACTACCACTACCACTACCACTACCACTACCACCACTACTACTCCTACTACTACTACTACTCCTACTACTACTACTACTACTACTACTACTATTCCTGCTCCTGCTTTGGGGGGTTGCTTTGCCACAAAACTCTACCCCGCGAAAGGCGAAAGTTTGGCGAAAGTTCAGCTCAAGATTGGCGAAAGTTCACCCTGCCACATCTGACCCCCAGCCCATTATGAGTAAGTTTGAGTGACCGGCTACTACAGTGATTCTTGCAAATTTGAGTCTTGCTGACACCCAGGAGAAACAAAAGAGACGTACAGGGTGTCAACAGTTAAGTAGAAGACGCATGCTGACAAACAGTGAAGTTTCTATTTTGTGTTTGCCAGTAAAGAAGAAGCCATTGACGTGAACAAAACACAACATACATGGCACACATAAATACAACGTACTTCGGCGAAAGATAAAACGCAGGAAGGCGAAAGTTTGGCGAAAGTAAATTTTTTTTGGCGAAAATGACGGATCCCGGATAAAGGAATTTAGATCAACTCTCATATATATAAAAATATATATATAACTTTATAAAACCATTTTACATATATATATATATGTATAAATAACACAGTTGGTACACAAAGGCTGAACCTTCAGAAGGTGCTTCTCTCGCGACTAGGTGAGCAGAGCACGCCGCAGGTCATCCCAATTCGGGATGCCAAGGTGCGCAGAAGAGTTGAAAATACGTGTGGACTCCCTATGCCAAATTGTGCAATATGCCAAGTGGACTTTGAACATCTAGAGGCAGAAAGCAAGCCTTTGTGTCACAGGCGAGCGTGTCCAATGTGGCTTTCATCGACAAGGACTGATTTCATTTTTGCAGTGAGTCCTTTTCACCATTGTTGCGGCAGGGCTCTTGAGGTCAAAGAGACTTACTTATTCTGCACACCATTCAACATAATTTGGTTCCATACCTGTGGAGATTTGCTTGATTGATGGCTACCTCAATTTCTTACTTAATTAAGTAGGGTCTGGGGGAGCGGCCAAAAAAGCAGACTTGGCCCAATGCAGGACTTGGACGGGAGCGAACTGGGCGGCCAAATATCATGGACGGAACCAACGGATTTTGGTCCTGCTGGAGTGAACAGAGCACTGTCACTTGGCAATGGGGACACAAATGGAGGACTCAAACAAATTCCATGGAATTTTGACATGCAGAGCTGACAGTTGACTCAACCGAAACTATTTTAAGTGCATTCGATTGCTTGTTTTGAAGGTTTTTCGTTCAGTCAGAATCTCTTGAGCAAGTTCCTGCTTGCACCATCTAAGGCGGTATCGGCTTTACTTGGCAGACACAGACATGGGAGTCAACAGGATTCTGCTCAACTACCAGGTGAGGGGTCTGGTGTTGTTGCTTTTTTACTACGCTTTCCAGCGTCGTGAGCAATGATGAAGAGGGGCTAGGTCGATTAGGTATGATGGCCTTTCGACGACTGATGAACAGCAGTTTCGAGAGAAGTGATAGCTTGTGGTGTCTCGCCGACTCGCTGTGTTCCGAGGTAAACTCCTTCCAATACCTGCGTTTCACAGCCTCGAAGCTGCGGAATGACACATTTGCGGAAGGTGTTTCGTCTTGATGGGCGAACAGTTGCAGAGCTGGTGAGAACTTTGTCAAAGAACTCACATTCTTGGCAGCCTTTGGCACGTCTTCATTTTGCTTCATGCTGTGTGGGGTAGTGAAGTCCATGACTTGACGAAGCATAACTTTTGCCAGCTTGATGCTTCCATGCCCTAGGCCCTAGGCTCCTTATGATAGTGCCTAAAGCAATGGACCTAGCACGACTTAAGTACCTCTTTCGAGCTGAAAGCACACTTCAGCCGACAGGAATGCAGTCGAGACAAGTGAGGACAAATCCACAAATTCTACTCAGCTCCTGACGAGGTTTGCCGGTTTGCTAATCCATGCAACAGGTGTGCAGCTGGCAGAGATCAGTTTCCGCGTGGGAGGGGCCTGGACGTTGGACTTGAGCACTGCCACTGCGACCAACACAGGATCAAGCCCTTCGGGTGAAGGACGGGAATGTGCCAAGAGGTTGTTTCAACCTGTTTCAAATTTGTCCGCAACACTCGCACAAACCAGGAGCATTCTGCATCAATGCATTTCTCAGGAGCTGACCAGGCAATTGATGGCAATTCTGCCACCAAGTGGTTTGACTACACCAGGTCAGCTTTGACCGTGCAGTTGGCATCTCCTGCAAAAGTGGAGGCCGGAGCGAGTAGAGTTCGAAAGGCAAGGTCAACTTGCTTGGCTCGGCTTCGCCCTGCTTTCAGTCACACACACTTAGGATAGGGTGTACTGAACTGAAAGCGGTGCCACACGCCGGCCTAGGGTTCCATTTCCTAAGGGTACCAGTACGAACCACGGGAACCTGGAGGACTTCAAGAGGAAAGAAGGCCAAAAGCTCAAGGCGAAAACGGACCGACGGGGTGACGGCGTAACGTGCATGTCTGCGGAACTCACTAGCCCTTTACTAAGGGTAGAAACTAGCTGGGTTCTCGGCTTAGCCCAGTGGCCATGCGCGGAAAAACTCAAAGCAGGTACGTGAGAGTGATCAGCTCTCATTTCCCGTACAATCAGGTAGCTTCGTTGGACATGGTCCCTGATTGTACGCCATGTCCCCCTGCTGCACAAGGAAAACAACTGTGAAGCTAAAACAATCCGAAAGGATCCCTATGATTCCAAGGGTTACACACACTCATGGATATGCGTACTGACTTGATTGCGGCGCCACACGCCCACCTAAGAGACCCAAATCCTGAAAAA